AGATGAAATCATTTTCTCAATTTTTGACAACAGATTTATGATGTCATACTTTACCCCATAATCCTTTGCTTGAAAATCAAGATGGCTGACTACGTAATACTGATGAAAAGTGGAATATCTAGAGAATGAAAAGTGATACAACAAAACTGTAAATTGCATTCTCCTACATTTGTGGAGCTTTTTCTTTAAGAGTCATTATGTCGTTTGGATTGAGGTTCCCTTTAAGATAAATCTATCATTACTAAGAACATCAACACAAAATACCTGGTAACCAGGGAGAAACGGAAGCTGAATAACATGATACTGCACAATTACTATCATAAATTGAGTTATTTCAATAAAAAATATCTATGATGTCATATGTATATACCTAGTAATTAATTTTCCCATGTCTGTTAACAGGGGCATAACCTGAGCCCTACCTTGTTCAACCTATTTCGTAATGACCTGTCTGATATATTTAATTTGAACACATGTGATCCTCCTTGCTAAGCTTTCTTCTCTATGCAGATGACATTGTTATACAGAAACAAAGACTGATCTTCGAAAATGCTTACCTAATCTGTCATCTTAAACAAGAAAATGGAAGTTTTCTGTAAACACAGAAAAAACTAAAATCATGGTGTTTAATAAATCAAATACTGTGAACTATTGGATAATGATATTTTCTTTTTTTGAAGGTAGTGAAATACGTGCAGTAAAAACATTTAATTATCTGGATGTTGAAATTAGTGCTAATGGGAAATTAAAAGAATGAAAAACCTAAAAATAAAAGCACTTAGAGCACTTTTCTCATTAAAACAAAAGGTTGAATATAACCATGAATCTGATATTGATTTATCACTATCATTGTTTGACAAACTGATCAGACCAATTCTTGTGTATGGAAGTGATGTGTGGGGTGATGAGAGCTCTTCCAAGTCACCAATAGAAGACGTTCACATCAACTATTGCATGTTTCTTCTCGGCGTATCAAAACACACTCCATTAATGGGTATCTATAGTGAACTTGGAAGATATCTTATAGATATATTTGTTAAGAAATTCGTCCAAAACATTGCTCAAGGAAGCATTTATGATTGATGAAAAATTAAACTGTTATAATTGTATGTGCATCATGCTTATTTTATCTTTGTAGTTTATAGTTTTCGTTATTTTTTTTTTCATTGTTGTTATTATCAATAGTTTATGTAGTTTTCAGTTATTTTACCTTTGTAACCATTTCCACCCCCTCTAAGAAGTGTGTAAGTGTTAATAAATTTATAATACAATGTAAAGAGAGAAAAGAAGAGGTTGTTATGTTTTTAGGTATGACAGCTATCTTGGATATTTGTATTCACAGTACATATATGATTTGTTTACACCAATGGTAACTGCCTACCTGGTTTCTAGGAACAACATTATCAGTAATAGCACAGTTATATGGACAGGCAGTGGGTATACTTTGACAGCTATATAACATATGATCCTACACACAACCAGAAATTAGTTTTAAATTGTAACAGTGCAACAGTTTATGCTATTTAGTGATCAGAAGCAAAGGAGATAAGATTGGCAAGATTGCAGTTCATGCATTTGTGTATAAGTGTCAATTCACAGCCACCACAGCTAAAATTAACAAGCCATGCATGGCACAGTCCCCGTTAGTTATCAAATTTAAGATATATAGTTTTGTTTATAGTAATATAGCTGGAAATATAACCATGTTAGGAATATGATTTTTCAACATTAAAATGATCGTCATTAAAATGATTGTATCTGATCGTCAAACAAGTACTTGTTCATATTGAGAGATATTGTTCTGGAACAGCATTCAAAATCATCCATTTTGAATACATGTATATATATAACATGATGTATTACGAATATATAAAATTTAAATATAATAAGTCAAAGCATTTAAGAGATATGGCTCTAGAAGCCCAATCATTAAAACAAAATGGCCGCCAGTCAGCCATTTTTAATCAAATCTGAAAAATAAAATGACAAGCATCAGGAACCCGTAATGTCTAATATATGTACCAAGTTTGAACGAAATCCACCCATAAATGATTGATATTTGATGATTTTTTAGCACAAAAATGACCACCATTCGGCCATTTTGAATAGGATAGTCAAACCAATATATCTGTTTATCTATGACATGATGTATAATGAATATTTCAAATTTGAAAATATTATCAGTCAAAACAAGTCCGAGATATGGGTCTAGAAGCCCATTCATTAAAACAAAATGGCCGCCAGACAGCCATTTTGAATCTGATCTGAAAAATAAATGATGTGCATCAGACCTGTAATGTCTAATATATGTACCTAGTTTGAACGAAATCCATCCATAAATGCCAGAAATGCTTGATATTTGATGATTGTTTAGCACAAAAATGGATACCATTTGGCCATTTTGAATAGGATGGTCAAACCAATATATCTGTCTATCTATGACATGATGTATAATGAATATTTAAAAATTAATAATCAGTAAAAGCAAGTCAGAGATATGGCACGAGAACCACATTCAGAATACAAAATAGCCGCCAGTCGGCCATTTTGAACTTATCTGAAAAACAAAATTATTTGCATCAAGGACCTATAATGTCTAATGTATATACCAAGTTTGAACAAAACTCATCTGTAAACAGCCGAGAAATGCTTGATTTTGATGATTTTTAGCACAAAAATGGCTGCCATTCGGCCATCTTGAATCAGATCGTGAAACAAATTGAGGGGCATATGTATAATATCATGTATGATGTATGTGTGAAGTTTGATTGTGATTGGTCCAGGCATTTCTAAGATACGGACGGACATAGACGCACGCACGGACACACGAAGGTCAAAACATAAGTCCCCATTTTCGGACTGCGTCCGAACGGGGACTAAAAACAATCAAAAATGCTTAGAATGCCATAAAACACTAGGGCATTCGAATCTGGACTATACAGCCACATGTAACATGACATATGATTATAATAATGTATGCTAGATCTTTAAAATCAGACTTTTTTTGACCATGTTACATTTTTTAAATATTAAAGTTTTATAATGTAATTATCGGTAATAACAATGTTTGGAAAAAATTTTATTGAAATAATCCAGCAGCTCACCTGTAAATTATTGAAAGTGAACATATCACCACAGTGTTGACAGCTCATTTTTCTCATGGAACAGTTTTCTTGTAAATGTTTTTCTAAATCTTTCCTTTGTAGACACGTGTTACATCCAACGTTTGTACAGGCCACTTCACTCTGAATACAGGAGTCTCTCCAGTGGTTATCAAGGTCTTTTAACAAACCTTCCCATGTGCATCGACATACTACAACTTGTTGTTGTAATTCCCTTGTCACAAACATGTCACAAAATATTTTGTCTCTTATCAATACGTATCCACAATCAGGAAGGGGACATTGGAAGTTGTCCACATCACTGAAAAAACAAGCAAAAGTAAAAATATTCAGTGAATTGAACCCAAATACATGTATATCTACTGGAATAGATGACTGGATGAGTTGGACTGGCAGGCATGGCAGATTCCTGTCTTTATCTGTTTAATGCCAAAGTTTGATACAGTTTAGTAAATGATTGTAAATCTGTTTTCCTTTTGCATTGCAAGCTAGTTAATGGCGGTGAAGTTTTACTCTTAGCATGTCCAGTAAAACACCGTTGATATTTTTACATATGATAAGAGGACACCTAAGTTCACCTCTACTGCAATATATTTACATTTACATAACATATTCAGATTTTATAAATTTCAAATGACAGCTTGAAAACAACTTGACCAATCACAACCTGTTAACAGATGCATGGCAGTAAATTGATTGAACCTGCAAATGTCCATGGGAAGTAGACTTTACCAAATGGATTATATTGCCAATTGAATTTAAATTAAAAGGAAAGATCTTAATTCCAGCACAAATCTTTCATAAATATCCATAAAATACAATACTGATAATGAAAGATAAATTACACAACTTCATAACTGTGTTCCTGATTTGTGTGATTTGTTGGCAACAACACTTACCAGTAGTTTAAATATGTATAAAACAATATGTAGAGAATTACATGTAGAGAGATAACAGTGAAATACATAAAGATTTCTCTTTTAGCACTGTTGGAGAACAGTTACCATGACAACAGAGACATGTTTAGCATCAAATACAACTCTTACAAACTACAATATCAACTTCAGATTTGACCTTTGACCACCCAATTTAATATTTATATACTAAAAAAACAGTAAAAAAGGTCAGATATCACAGACATCATCAGACCACAAAAATAGGACTATGAAAACATGCTAATAGTTTATAGTCATGTGATAACAATGTGAAAGCTAGTTTACCAGCATGTTAATAGTTGGTACAATGGTATTGACTGGTCAGTTGTTATGCTTGGCTGATTGTTTGTATTTTCATGTGTATTGCCTTTGTAATCATTGCCATTATTATTAATTATATGACACATCTACCAACCTTAGTTTGCTTTCAATACAGGTGTGACAAAATCGATGTCCACATATTGACTGTCTTGGTTCTCGTAATGCCAAATCACAAATAACACACAGGAAATCTTCTCTTAAAGGTTCTTTAAAAGTGATGTCATATCCCATACTTTTGGAATCTTATAAAACACACCAAATCTTGTTCAATCTGAGATATAAGTGACAAGGTGATTAGTTCATAAAAATGTTAAATGTTAACTTTCTGAAATTCTAATCTAGAGAATTGTTTTGAGATGATCAAATCAGTCACCTGTTTACTTTAATAGCTGCGGTTTCGTAGCTCTTTAGTGCGACCTACAATCAAATCTTGCCCTAACAGTTTCATTTGGATGTGTTCATTTGGAAATGAGTGGAATTGAAAATTTTAATTCCGATCATGTTCTTACTTTTATTTATTTATTTGTTGCTACCCTTTTACATCAGGAAAAAAGAAACAGACATTTAAAACCTGAAGGAGATACAAAAAATAAAACTTTTAAAACTTAAAAAAAATGAATCTACATAATCTTTTCTATAATCCATGGCATCAATAAGAAATCTTTTCACAACTCTACCAATTTCTTAACATATCTCATAACTGTAATGTTGGGTGCTATTACCTAAAAGGAAATATAATAATTTTAGGAGAAGACGAAGTTCATTTTATTACAGACTGTAGCTATTACACCGATGAATTTACCAAGGAAATCCCCACCTTCCAGTCTGAAAACAATATGAACAAGTTTATTATCCTTATTAATACTAACCATCCTAAACTAATTAGACATGTGACACAGTATCTGAAAGTGTGTTTTGAAAAACACAAACTACATGAATTTTCTACTATTTAATCTTATGTTATTTTAACGTTCTGTTTTTTACTTACCTTTTTACTTTACCTTTTATTACTTTCAGCCAAAATTGAATTTGTAATTTCATTACAGTGTAATAAAACTGATTATTAATAATGCTTTACCCTTTTGTAATATCTTCGTAAAGATTTGTTTCACCATTTTTACATAGGATATACTAATATTTTTCATCATATTATCCCTATGTACTTTGTAGGTTTCACACTCTAAGTGTTCTAGAGTTTCATCACCTTTCTTGCAGCATGAACATGAACAATCACTATTGACATTTGCTCACTTTCTTTTCTCATACGCAAGATCTAGAGTGTATGACCTTGCTTTGAATTTAAGCTGGGCACCTTTATAATTTTCAACTGATTTTAAATATTTTTCACAATGCTTGATCTCAGTTTTAAATTTCATGTAGTGGATCAGACTTGATTTGTTTGCCATGATCAGACTGTCACTTGGCAATTGATCGCTAATTTTATTATGAATATTTTTCATCCTTAAAACAATCACTGAAAAAATCAATGCGTGATGACAATACGTCGGTCATTTACAGAGTAAAATTTAGTGGAGCTTGTGTTGCCTGTCCTCTTCCCTTGGGTTGGGTTTTTCTGTCTCAAAATGATGCCCCTGGTGTGTGAATGGTAGGGCTTGTTCTGGAGATATTTGCACTGTGCCCCACCCCGACTACGGTAGGCGGGGTCGGGGTTTCGACTACCGGAAGTGCATTGCAGCAAGTGACTAGATAAAATGGTTATCTGCCCCATCAACAAAATTGAAGAATTCGAATTCACAAAATGGATAATAATTTGTCAAATATTGTTTAACGCAATCATAACAATAGCTGTGGAATCATAGTCCTATGTTGCCGACCGCATTATTTACGTGACTGACTCTGGCCGGCCCATAAACATACAACAAAATTAAAAAGAAGACGTCCAAATGAAATTGTTATGGCGAAATTCGATTGTAGGTCGCATCAAAGAGCTACGGAACCCCCTGGGACGGAACCGCAGCGATCATAACAAGAGATTGTAAACATCCTGAATAGGTTAATCATTAATCTACGACTCACCTTACATCAATCTTCGCTTAAACTAACCCCACAACGTTGCAACCTCATAAACTGTACGATTTATAACTGATACAGACACCCGGTACAAACAATTCGTTGTGAAATTTTCTCACTTAATTTCTTCGTACGTATGTAGCTAAAATATCACGCCGGTCATACGTGATAGATTAACAACGTTTCGGGAGTTTCCCAGATTTTCACCAGAGGGGAATCCCAAAACACATTTTTTTGCATTTTCTGAAGCCTGTTTACAACAAGCGCCACCAACAATATGCAATTACACAACTTTTGTTTTTATCTAATCTGTTAATAGGATGTATTTCGTATTTTTTGGCAAGTCGGTATACATGTTTTACATACTAACAACGCAACAAACCCACTCCTTTCAATTTTCGGCGATCCGCTGCTAGGATTGCCCTTATAATCACTTTTGTCGTTTTGTTGGCGATCCGCTCCGCTAGGATTGCCCTTATAATCACTTTTTGTCGTTTTGTGTGTGTGTGTGTCTGTGTGTGTACATTTCCAGTGTTCACTATTATTTCTTCTGTGATTTTTTTGGCTTGGCCGATTTCGTTCAAACTTGGCAGGTAGGTCACACCTTAACCCTAGTTATAAGGAAAAATCTGAAAATTTTTTTTGGCCCACCGTTGCCATAGCAACAGCCAAAAAACTGATTTTTGGATAGCTTCGCGCCAAATGTATCTCCTCCTACAAATTTGGGATAAAACACTTCAGACATAGCTCATTCTACTCAGCTTGAGTGTGGGCACAAAGTTACCATTTGAATTTTTGATATCTGTTTTCATTACCGAGAAATTTGACCCTAAAGTTGGGGTAACTTTTCACCAGCAACGGCTTTTAACTCCTCTTGATTGTTTCGGCTCGGCCGGTTTTGTTCATACTTCACAGGTAGGTCGTGCCGTCACTAATTGGAAAACAATCCTGGCCCACCATTGCCATTGCAACATCCAAAAACTGATTTTTGAATACTTTCGCCCCAAATGTATTACCTCCTACCAGTTTTATCGGTGTCGCTGGGTGTATATGATAAAGGGAAGTTGTGCAACCAAATTTGCCGAGTTCGCAGTTTTTCGCCAATAAAAAAATAACTAAGGCAACAACTCACGGTTTTTCAGCATTTTTGTAATAAAGACATTATTCTCCATCAATAATCCGCCCAAAACAGGAACATTTCTACTAATTCTTGTGTTTTTTCGACGTTTTTCGAAAAACCTGCGATTAGGCTGTGAAAGTAGAACATTCCGGAAGGGGCGAAATGGAAGAGCCATATTTAACGCGTAAAAATAGAACGCGTATTTTGACCTCTATGCGGTCGTCGCCAAAGAG